ATAAAAAATAAAAATAAAAAAAGATTTTTTGGGGGGGGGGGGGGGGGGGGGGGGGGGGGGGAGCTTAGGAAGTTACCAAGCGAGGGTAGGGAGACACTCTTAGGTATGCCAATGACCGAGGATTGGGGGGGGAGGATGTACTCGGAGCCGTGGTTGCCGTGGTCATTAGAACATTTGGCCTCGCATCCCTACAAAGCCGGGACGGAGCACGCCGGGTTCTCACCGGACCAGGCTAGCACACCACCAAGCGCGAAGCGCCGTGAGGCACTGGGGACTTGGGGCGGGGGGTGGGTGGTCGTGAAACTGTCGCCGGTCTAGCTCCCAAAAGAACCAAAGGGCGCAAAACCCGAACCCGCAACATCAACAACGACCACGACCACGACAAGCGGCTTACCTCGATAGCGCCACGGTCGACAGGATGAACAACGGATCCCCGGCCTTGAAGAACAGCGAAAGCACGGCCCCTATCACGAAGAGAGCGACTCCCCACCTGCACAGAGGAATGAAAATTGGGGTAATGTATTTGTCAAACATTGGGTTCCAAGAAGAACATCAAGCTGCGGCCCATGCACACAACAACTTGAAAAACAATTTTTCACGTTTCACTTGAAATTGCTTATCATGTTTTCGTTGGGAAAAAAAGTTGTTCCGTTGACTTCTTTTGGCTTGCGGACCCTTCCGGTCCATTTTTATTTTCGAATACCTCTTGGGGGGTAAGTTACCCTGTGACCACGGGAATCGACCCCGTCAAGTGTTAGACTAGTACGGACAGAAGAATGTACTGGGCAGAGAGAACGGAACGGTTTTTTATGTGAAGACAACAACACAACATAAAGATCAAGCTGCGGATAATGCATAACCATTTCTCCACCCACGGTTCATTCGCGCGAGGCCGTTTCCTAACGTCCCGAAAACGACTACATAGGTTGTACAAATGGTCACTTCAGTGAGGACGGCCTCATGGTCAAGCTCTCACAGCTTGACGTTTTCCAGCCTTAACTTCTGAACTCCCAGGTTCTTGCCTAAATGCAAGCGCCAAAATGTCCTTCGATACATATTCCCCAAAAATCGTGGAAAAGCAGTCACGAAATAAAACCCGTTACGTTTGTCGCAATACATATGAAATGTGAAGTTCAGTCACACCTAATGTTGTTCGTGGGAATTGCGTTTTCTCATTTTGTGTTTTTGATGCGATCAAGATGAAAAAATAACCAAAGTACGAGGTGATCCCTCAGGAATGGGCTCGTCAGCGCGCACTGTCCTCAAGGGGAGATGGGATGCAACATGGGAAAAAAAAAACTGGGCAGCAGGAAAAACCCACAGCTGGCTGCCAGCTGCGGTGTGACGTTCCCCCAAGCCCAAAACAGATTACACGGATGACGTGTTTTCGACTGAAGCGAAGAGCCCGGAGAATCTCGACGAACCAAAGAAAACATTCACAAACCTGTGTAACAGAGTCTTACGAAGTATTAAGTTTACATCAGCTACTTCATACACCGCAGGAGGGGTGGGTAGCGGGGGGGGGGCTCTGGGGGGAGGGACCCTTCTGTGTGACCACGGATTAGGCAGAAATGCTGCGAGCTTTGAGCGCTGATTAAGGATATCAACAAAAAAAATAAAAACCACATACACGAAGAGCGTGTAATCCCCTTGCGTACAGATAACGTTTGAAGATATTTGGTATTTGTTTTCGGGGAAGAACATGCTACAACGAAAAACAAAAAAGTACAATGAGAGGGGAAACTGTAACGTCCGCCTGGCCGTGCAGCGGAGGCATGTGACGCGAAACAAACAAAAAAAAAAACGAAAAAAAAGAAGAAGCGCAACGTCCATCTAGCCGTAGAGTAGAGGGACGCGAGGTGAAAAAAATCGAAAAAAAAACAAGACGCCTACCTGGCCGTAGAGCGGAGGCACGCGAGGTCGTGCTCCCTAGCCGACACCCGTTGCGTCGAGGCCTTCTTGCCGAGCACGAGCCCGAGCGGCGACAAGGTCTCCATCTCCACGTCGGGGGCGTCTCCGAAGTCTGGGGGGCCGGGCGGGGTCGTCAACGGGGGAACCGGTTTGTCATGTCAACGAGTGGAGG